CTAAACCTACTGGGTCAGCAAAACTGAGCCGTAAATTTCCCTATAACTCTGTCTCAGGAGATTTCCAGTATTTCTGAATGGGCCAGAAATCAGTGCAAATGGCCTCTCTCTTGCCATATTTTGGCATTTGGGCTAAAAGAAAGGGAGGGAGGGAAGCATAGATTTATTTGGAGCTTTTACCACCGTTTTTCATTAAGCTGCACTGGCCTGAGGACCTGATGACATGGGGCTCCTGGGGCTTGGCCTTATGGCCTGTGAACCGTCAGGGAGCTGCAGGAGCTGGGCTCCACCTCCCGGGTCCCCATAACAACCCTGGGCGTGGAGATGGCATCAACTCACCCCCCAGGAAAGTGGGGCCCATCTAACTCCTCTAGAAACAGCTGTAAACGTGACTTCCTAGGGAGAAGATGGGAACACAAAGTTACTGTGCCCCCTCTAAGACTTCTGCACCCTTAGGAAACTTGCTGGAGTCACTTTCCTGGAAAGAATAAGTGACAAGGCTAAAGCTGTCACTGGTATTTACTCTCAAAGAAACAGACCACGGAGGTGGGATAGGCGGGGAGATGCTTTCGCAACGCATCTTTGGGGCAGAGTCCCCTTAGCATACACGGGCAAATATTTTTTGAGTCACCTCAAATCACTGTGTCAGCATCTTTCTGATGGCCCAATTTTCCAAGAAATTAGGTAACTGAAGCGAGAATGATGAGCCATTCAGACCATCTTCCAGGAAGTGATATGTGAGTGGCTGCATGAGTCCCAGGGCTCCTCTGGGCATCTGGTTAACTGTTGACCCCGCAGAAGGCTGGAGGATTGAGTGACCCACCTAGAAGGAGTCTGGGCTCATGGTACCTTGCCTGGAAGATACTGCCACCCTGGCAGTTGGAGACTTGGCAGAGGCACTTAGAAAAAGTCATGACAAGAGCTCCAAAGATCTGGAGGGATGAGGGGGGCGGTTCCCAGGCACAGACCAGAATCAGGCTCACTTGCCCACGTCTAACAGGGGTACTGCTTTGGGCTAACCTATTAAAGTGATGTGATTCAAACTTGTGCTGCCCGAAAGAGAATTTTCCAAATAGTGTTTGATTACACGAATCAGCATGATATAATAGTGAAAAAGGGAAAATCACTTTTATTTGTTCAAAATATATTATCTGAGTGTTATTCAAATATTTAAACAGCCATGTTTTTGTACACACCCATATACTGTTTTATTGTTTGAGACAATAACTACTTGCACAAATGACTACACATGATTAGACTCTTTGCAATATGTGCTTCACAAAGTAAAAATGAAATGGCTGAATCATATCAAATATTTGAACAACGTATGTTGATGTGTAAAGTGTTGCTGGAAAATGGGTCATTTTTACAGAAGTTCGAAAATGCTGCAATGGTTCTTTCTGTTGCTACAGTTTCAAAATTGGTTTATAATATTACATGGTCAGTTTTGGTGTTCACATAAACATTTTTGCTTGTCCATTTCAACGGAGAGAGAGAAAATGTAAAGAACTTCCACTTTTAGCACAATGGCCAACTAATATAAAGCAGTGTAAAAGGCTGGAAAATATATGATAGACATCTTTGTAAACACATATTTGAGGAATCAGGACATAAAGGAAATAAAAGACATCTCAGAGGACAAATAAAGAAGATACTGGAAACTGTAAACAGGAGCCTGATAACTCTGCTGGAGTGGAGGAGGGGGCAGTAACAGATTCAGGAACAAGGGGGCTTAAGTTTTAGTGCCCAAGAGTGTCAAGAGGCAGTTTTCTTGAGATTGGGCAAGGCAAAGTGAGAACTGAAACTCTCCTACGGAAAAACCAGGACTGAAGAACTATGTTCTCAATGAAAAGGTGAACTGTGAAAAACAACAACAACAACAAAAAAAAACATGTACTCACCAGCACAGGAAACTGTAAACAAGATTTCCTGCCTTGTCCTGGACACTCAGTGTAAAAACAAACCAAACCAGAAATTCTTCCAAATGTCTATAACCACAGATTTGCCCTTACATGAGTACAAGGTTTGAATGATCTTCATTCTTCCTCCCAAACCATCACCCCTGTTTCCTCCCTCGAAGCCTCTCGATTTGGAGTCTCATCAGTACCACATTCACTCATCTCTTCTTTGAGTCATATCCACACTCCGGATTGTCCCGTGATGTCTTAAATATTCTAGCCACTGGCTCACTGTCATGTTCTCCAACAGTGTCAACACCGACCCTAGTTCTTAGTGACTACAAACAAAGCACAGCTAATCTTTCCAATATAATGCCAGTGCAGCAGTACAATTCTTTCATTTTCTGTCCTTTAATAATCTTTTCCCTCTACCCTGCCTCAGCCACCAACTCCCATATTCTTATTATATATCGTCTTGTTTGTGAATGAGGAAATGATGCAGACTTCAGAACGAACACAAAGGACTGTAAACGTAACCACTGTAGATTGAAAGGTTTGTGTCCTCCCAGAATTCAAATATTGAAACCTAATCCCTGATGCGATGGTATTTGGATGGAGGTCCTTTGGGAGATAATTCAGCCATGACAGCAGAGCCCTCGTGAATGGGATTAATGCCCTCATAAGAGACTCCAAAGTGTCCCCTCACCACTTTCACCAAATGAGGATGAAGTAAAAGGTGGCTGTTTATGAAAATCAGAAAAGGTGCCTCACCAGATACCAAATCTGCTGGCTCCTTGATCTTGAACTTCCCAGTCTCCAGAACTGGGGGAATAAATTTTTGTTGTTTATAAGCCACCCAATCGATGGTATTTTTATTGTAGTAATCCAGGTGGACTAAGACAGTAACTTAATTCATAGATGCACTGACTCAATGTTATTTAGGTTAGTCTGTAAATTCAATGCCATTCACAATTACAATAGGATTTTTCATGGAAGTTGAGCAACTATGAGGCAAGAAAAATCATGACATAGTAATCCTGCAATTCGGTGAAAAAGCAGCCAGAATAATTTATCTAATGACATATTAAATTATCGTAAAGCTATAATTACTAAGACAATGTAGAATCAGCACAGGAGTATAGAAATAGACTAATGGACTAGAGAATTCAGAATCAAGACCTATACAAACAAAGAGGTGCATGAAAGAGGCAGCAATACAGATTAGTAGAGAAAGGATAGGCTATTCAACAAAAATGTGCCAAGATATTTGGTTAACCACACGGGAGAAAAAATGATTATTTTATCATACCATAAATATATGTAAAATGAAGCCTTAATTGTGAAATGCAAAATTTTAGAAGAAAATGTTGGAGCATATCTTTATATGCTCAGGCTATGGAAGGGAACTGCTTCATTTCGCCTTTCCTTTAAAAGCCTCTGTCTATTGCCAGCAAGTAGGTCATCTTCTACCTCCATTGTTCTTACCAAGTAAACTTTCTAGACTCTTGGCTCTAGACTCATCTGCCTTCTCCCTTCACTCCTTGCATATAAAGAACAGGTTATTTATATATTTTTTTCATGTTCTGTTTTGCATCCGTGAAATACTCATATTCTATTTTCCATCCACACACCCATAAAACAGATTGGATGATAAAGAACCCTCCTTAATTTCCTTGCAATATAAACAGCATAAAGCTTAAAATAAAATTCCACAACTGAAATTTGAAAAAAAAAATTCCCTGACCAAAAAAATCCAAAAAACAGAAAAGTAAACTACTGTAAAGAAATAAACTCATAGCAATAAGACAGAAACAATTGTACATAAGCACCGTACTTTAGTTTATAAGTTGTTTCCCATGGAGACATAGGCTAAAGATTCTGGAATCACTATACAGTACACCATAATTGAACAGCTAAGTCAATGAGTGGTAGATGGTGGAGTCCAGATTTCTCACTGTTGGAGGTGAAATTTTCAGATAAATAAGGGGACAGAGCTTGAACAAACAACGTGAGAATGGATTAGAGTTAGAGACATCAGTATGAACTCATGTTTAGCTTAATATAGAGAGAGATAATTACATATAGAAATATTTACAGATATGTGTGTATATGTGTATATATATATAATTATTTGTGTTAGTAAATACACCTTTATTTCCTGGCACAGTCAGCTAAAGGGACCAGAAGCAACAACACCCCAGTAACAGTGAGCACACCTGCCACCCAGATCTTGGTTTCCAGTTCAGTTCTCCAATAACAGTAACCAGGTCTCCTTAGAGAAATCGCTAACTTTAAGACTGTAGCAGAAAATTTACAAGATGAGCCTGGAGCATCTTATAGTGCCAGAAAGTAAGGAGGTGCTCAAAAAATCTATCTACAATGATAGTAGTATGTCAAAGGGACACAAAGAACCAAATGAAAGATCTCCCAACGGCCAGAGCGGAAACAATTTAAGTGACAAAATAAATAAAGGAATAACGTATTATAACTCAAATATGAAATAAGTACCCTTGAGTTCGTGCCAATATAAACGATTGAATAAATCCATAAATGAGAAAGAACAGACAAATATCCCATGTAGAATTCCAAGTAATTTATGTACACACTCCACCCTCAAGGAGACGAAGCATAAATCCTTAGGTGAGGGCTGCACATAGTGACTTCCCTTCAAACAATACACGAAAATCAGCGGCGCGGAGGAGAGCAATTTTACAGTGGGTAAAGCCGACAAGTACTAACCCAGTCAGGTGACCAATGCTACATCAACAGTGATAATTCACTGATAACTCAGGATGCTTGCAAGTACCCTTGATGTGATATAATGAGAATGACACTTTACCTCTGTACTCTACCTCTGAAAGTACCTCTGTACTTTCCAAAAACCCGTAACTCCAGCCCAATTGTGAGAAAAATCACCAAATATTAACCTGAGGGCCAAATACATGATCAAAATACATGACCAGTATTCTTCATTAGGTACTAATTGGATAAATGATCTTTAACATCACTTGGAATCATGAAATCACATGACCACAAAAGATGAAACCAAACTACTCACAATCTCACCACAGGAGTGTGATCCTCCAGCAATCTCTTACTCACCTAGGAATACTCAGTCCCAGCCAGCCACACGTCTGCAGTCGTGGGATGTCACAGCTGTATGCGTCCTGGAAGATTATGCAGTGTGCGATCCACATTTCCTAAATAGGATGCATAAATAAGAAATCGTGGACTTTAGTGCCTTGGAGTGATTTTAGGTAAAGAAATATTCATTGTATCAATAATAAGAACCATGCAATTCAGGGGGAGGGTACAGCTCAGTGGTAGAATGTGTGCCTAGAATGTTCAAACCCCAGCATCTCCATTAAAAATAAATAAATAAATAAGCCTGATTACCTCCACCCACCAAAACAAAGAAAAGAAAAAGAAAAGAACCATGCATTTCAATGTGTATTCCTAACCATGAATTCAAGGGGAAAGAAGAGCAAATATTTGCTCTTTATATTTCAGTGTCCATGGCAATACCCAGTACCATATAAACAACAACAACAACAACAAAAACCAAGGAGGGACAAATCTTACAGAATTAAACCACATCAACTCTCTAAGCTCAGTTATGAGATTCTTTCCCTCTGTTTCCTGAGAGAAGAAGTAAGATTTACAAAGAAAATAATTTGACCACTTAAATTTGTCAACTATTGTTGTTATTAGAAATTGTGTTTGTTCACTTAGGTTACAAAATATGTTTTAAAAGAATTAAATTTTCTCACTTAAGCTGTAAAAAGAATTCCCCAGCCTTGTATAAATGTGCCTTCTTCTGTGTATATTATGTGGCTTCTCTTGCTAGCCGAAACAAGCCAGCAGACAACCAAACGAACAAGCCGTTGCATTCTTTCCTTGGAGAATTGCAAACTACAACCAGTTCAAATCCAGACATAATATTAAGTCTTGTGTTTTTTCACCAAAGAGGAAAAAACAGTATTTTCTACATTCATCGAAGGCTTACTATGAGCCAATCACTGTTCTAAGCATTTTATTGCTACTTTTTAAATTTAATCATCACAGCAACTCTATAGAGCAGGTTTGATAATGATTCCTGCATAAAAGTAAATAAACTGGGGAACGGAAAATATAAGTAACTTGTTCTAAGTCATATATCTAGTAAGTGATAGTCAGAACCAGACATTCTAATTCTAAAGAATAAGTCTTGAGACTGTATGTGAATAACTTCTTTGGGCCAGTCCAACTGTAAGGA